GGACGGGGGAGTGCCAGTGCCGCGAGACACAACTTGGCTCCAAGTCAAAGCCCCCCTTCAGCACAGACTCTCCAAGAATGAAGGCGGCTGCTGACTGGCATGCTGGCTCCGCGTCGCTGGAGGGGCTCCGCAGAGCCCGCTGCCATCTGGAAGTGATTTGGCCCAGAGATTCCTGAGTGGGGTGGGAGGTTGGAATGACCAGCTACCCGTCCAGCTCTCGGAAACAAAGCTGCTGTGAATGGGCCCAGAGGCAGCCATAACACAGCCAGGGGTCATCTCCTTCCAAGGAGGGGCACGCTCTGGGCAGTCCATAGCCCTAGGAGAGCAAACAGAATTAGCACTGGCCACCAAGCCCTCTCTGTGTGCACGCCCTCCAGCGTGACTTCTGAGAGTATTCTTGGACAGTACCTGATGTATTTAACAAACACTCACGGAGCACTTACTATGTGCCACAAATTGTTCTAAGCACTTCTTTTAAGTGTTGACGTGTTTGATTTTTAATAGAGATAGGTACTGTCCCCATATTAGTGATAAGAAAACCCAGCCCTGGCCAGCGTGGCTCAGTGGATAGATCGTCAGCCTGAACATCAAAGGGTCTCGGGCTCAGATTCCCAGTCAAGGGCATGGACCTGGGTTGCAGGTTCTATCCCCCTCCTTGGTCGGGGCACATGCCAGAGGCAACCAATCGATGTGTCTCTCTCACATCAATGTTTCTTTCTCTCTCTTCCCTCCCCCTCTCCCTCTCCCTTTCACTCTCTCTAAAAATCAATGGAAAAAAATATCATGTGTGAGGATTAACCAAAAAAAAGAAAGAAAGAAAAGAAAACAAAACCAAGGCACAGAAGTGTCTTAATTGCTACTTAGCAGCAAGTGGGATTTGAACAAAGAATCATTGCTCTTAACAAGAGCCACCAGGGCACAGGGGACACTAATGTGTTACTTGTTGCAAATGGCCCCAAACTTGTTAATTCTGACAAAGCATGCTATTGTGCTAGTAACTTTTTAAACATTCTCGGGGTCTGAACTATATTGCCTAAAAGGCGCACTGGCACTTTGCTAGGTAATTCAGAAAAGAGTAGAATTTAGGATTAGTTGTACGTTATTTGGTGGAAGGAAAAGGGCTGAGAGGCACGGTGACCCACCACCCTGGAAACACTGCCCAGTGACCCAAGGTCTTGGGAACACGCACCCCACCTGCTCTGGGGCACTGGCCCGGCACAGGCACTTTAAGTAAACATTAGGGTCATACCGCATCCCCTAAAAAGGCAAAAATTCATTTTTTTTTTCCTGAAGGATCAAACCAAAACACACCACCCAAACTTCTAGGCAGCCTTGATTGTCATTCCTGGACGCGGAGACCCCTTTTTCTCCAAGTTGGCTGGCCTGCCCAATGTCAGAAAGGTTTTTGGAAAAACAAGTAAATAAAACTGCCAGCTCTGGCAGACGGCTACAATTAAATATGCTGAGGCCTCACTATGAACTGCCCAGGATATAACAAGAAACTGAAGAAAATCTTTAACTTTTGGATGGAGCCTAGCTAGGATGGGCCCACCTCACCATGAATTGTGGGTAAAAGCCAGGGCTATCTTTCGGTGAATTCTAAGGAGAAAAGCCACAGTCCTCTGGTGGCTTTTGACCTTCCTTGATCTCAGAGCTGGGTGCCTGTACACAACTCCAATGACTACCACCATGCATACTGTTGAGAGTTGTCCAAAGCATACGAAACTCTGTTCATTCAAAGATACCTTCCCAGATCCAGACTATGGGGTAAAACACCATCCACTGGCACAGGCAGAAAAGTTCCCATCCCCTGACCCCCACCCCTCAAAAAAGTCAGTGAACACAGAGCAGCCAGTCCCTAAACAAATCACCTGGACACAAGGCGGAAGAGGCACACTGATTCTGCTCACCTCCAGACCGACACTGACCTCATGGATCCTTTGTCACAGGTCGGAGGATTAGTCCTCTCACGAACCTGAGGCCTTGGGATCCCCGCTGAGCTTGCTCAAGGCTGGAGGCTACCCCAACATCTCAGACTTAACCACCTGTTGCAGGGGCTCTCTGGTCAGGGGAGAGGGGCTGTATTTACTCATTTCTGACCCTGGAAGGCAGGTCACTGAAGGCTCAATTCAACAACTGGGTAGACCTGGGTTCCAGTCACCATTTACTTAGCAGGCGACCTCTGCAAGTCACTTCACTTCCGTTTCCTCATCTTTAAGTGGAGATAACAATACTAACAAATCACAGTTATAACAGTAACCATCTCCTAAGCACCTGGTCAGGACTGGGGCAAGCCCGTAAGCCTCCCACGACTTGCTGAAGCAGCTCATTATACAGACAAGGAAAACACTTGAGAATTCCAGGTGGTGATCAATGAGGTGATCAACAGAGCACCTTCCCACGCCCCCAAATCAGAGCTGGTGTCAATCAATACAGCGTAAGCAGTAAGTACTTGAGCTCGATGTGCCTTTTCCCTGAAGGACTACTACCCAGGACTGGCCCAGGAGCAAAAGGAAGAGGCCTCAGGCTTTACCCCCACAGGAGTCCTGGCACTTGACATTCCGTCTCTCCAGAGGCTGGAAAACCTGTCTGCTTCTAGATCTTTCTGGGAGAGCGACTAGGCAGCCAATGACAGGATTCATAAATGTGGTAGCACCCTTTGACCCAGGCATGCTACTTTGGGGAATATGATCTAAGAAATCGTTTAAAAGGAGAAAATAAAACAATGGAACTTGTGGTGGGAAGTGGCTGCCAACACCCATAGGCCCACAACCAGGGAAGGGGAGGTTAACCCTGGAATATCAGCAGAATGGAAGGCCCTATGGCCTGGGTGGGTTCAGGAATGAAAATCGTGAGGCTCGAGTAGAAAACTATACCTAAGGGACCAGACAACGTCTAGAATGAGGCCCAAGCTCAGGGCATTGATGGAAGCCACGCTGAAAACAGCTGCAAATCCTGTAAACAGTTGGTAAATTAGGCAGTCCAGGATTTTCTGGTGCTGTGGTTTGGGTTTTTGTGTTTTTTTTTTCATTTGTTTTGTTTTTTAAAGAGATTTCATGTCATGTTTGGATACTCCTGGTTTACTTTAAGTTTCTTTGTTCGGTTAATTAAATAAATACACATTTTAAAACAAAGAAGAAGGGATCCCCGCTGAGCCCAGCCAGGCCTTGAGATTCCTCAGAGGGGTTGCTAGTTTCTGAAGAGGAAAGAATTCCAGGAGAATACTGAGGTTCTCTCCCCCAGTTATAGACAGAAACAAGAGCATGCCACACAGCTTCCCTCTGCACAGAAGCCACCCTTCATGGGGAGGCTGGCTGGGCGGTGGCAGCTGCCTGGGCCCAGGAAGCAGCCCTACCTGCCAGGACAGGTGTGGGGGAGGAGAGGGGAGAAGGGAGGAGACTCAGCCTAGAGGGAACCCCCTTGGCTGGAGAAAGTCCCAGCAGCCACCCCCCCCCACTTTCTTCCTGTCATGGGGGTCACAATAAGGCCTGGTTTCCTCAGGAAGAGACCTAGACCCAGGCCTGGGCCTGGGCCAGCACCTCTCCGGCAAGACACTCACTTGGCAGAACATACACATACAATGTAAATGCACACACATTCTCTGCGGGCGGGCACACGCTCCCTCTCTGAACACACATGTTCCCTACATGCACATGCTGTGTGACAGCCCTCCCCTCAGCAGCCTGTGACCCTCCTGGAAGTCCTCCCCTAGCTCAGGTCCTAGTGGGGACCTCACCCTCATTCTTCCTCCCCAGCTCAGGGGGTGAGGGACACAACACCAACTCCCTGCCCCCTCTCAGGAAGACCCCGGTGTGGGGAGGGCGGGGAGAGGAAAGCAAAGTCTCCTTTAATTGTCACCACTTCCTTCAATTCTCAGCTGGACCCTCGTGCTGCCACGGCTTGGGCGAGCGATTTAATCCTCTGGACTCCCTAGTCTGCAAAATGGATCAAACACTCCAACACTCCAGCCTGCAGGATGTGTAAGGACTGAGATAACCAGAAGGCTGTGGGCACACAGCACTCACTGGTTTGGGGTCCCTGCAAGGCAGCCGTTCCCATGACTACCACCATCTCTAAATTTTAACTTCAGCCTCCAGAGCGGGCTCATCCGGCGGCGCCCAGCCAGAGCCGCACTGGGAGTGGAGCGAGCGAGGACGACACACCCCCTAGGCTCCCCTTCCCACCTCCAGGCCCACACCCATTCCGAGGCAGCGGGGGAGGGTACCTGGTCCCGGTCTCCACCTGGGCGGGGAGGCCTCAGGCGCAGAGAACGGTCCCTCCCCAGGTCGCCTCCCCAGGCCTCAGAGCCAACGCCCATTCGCCGCGGCCGAGCGCACCGGTCTGGGCGCAGCGGGGCGAACGCTCCGGGGAACAGCGGACTAGGGTCTCACCCCCGGGGACCGCAGAACAGAGGTTTCCAGTCCCCCAAGTTCCGGCAGGGGCATCCTAGGTGCAGGGAAATGCCACAGCCCCACCGCTCCCCGTGCGGCCCCAACCCAAATCCTCAACCCACAGCTCTCCAGAGACCCCCCGTCAGGACGCACGGCGAGGAGTACTGCGGGGAGTTATCCTACGAGGTCACAGCCCAGGGGGTGGCACCATGGTGGGGGCCTAGGTCCCCTGTGTCCCCACAACCC